AGCATATGATGTGGTTGAATAAATGCATTACGATCCAAACTTACTGTACGCCTATAATCTCTCCATTGGGACAATTAGTCTAGCGATCTTTGGTCTATATTAGATTGTGTTACCAAATTTATATCATCTATTTTGATTATGTTATTGTGGAATAGGAATGGGAGCAGCCTAATTATGTATTTTTATTCTTTAAATGGACCATTATGATTTTATTGATAGTGCAAACAATAAAGAAGCATAAAATCAAGGTTTAAATAACTGAGTATGGTTCAAAACTTTTTGTCTGCAGATTGCCCTTTTAGGGATTGAATTGGAAATTTTAATGGAGGAATATTTATAGGCTGTGGAGAGCCTTATTTGCAATATCTTGTTATATTAAAACAAGTCATATTGGTTAGGAATAATAGGGAGTAGAAATGCTAATCCTCATTCATAGATTTTGTGTATATAAATTGAGTTTAATTTGGTTTATTAGATGTAATATAATTTGGTTTAAATGTAATTTATTATTATTTATTTAGTTTAATTTTAATCTATATTTAACTCTAAAGCATATTATTGATATTTATAATTATGTTCAAACTATCCAATCTTGAGATATTTTAATGTTTAAAACTTATTATAGTGATACTATTTTTTAAATTACTGAGTTATTACATTATTTATAATAGAGCAAAGTTGAAATTGTGATTAAAATAAATTAACAAATTTAATTATAAACTAAATTTAGAATGTTCTTGGTAATTTATTTTATGCTTCTCTTTTGAGTTTGAAATATCTAAATTTAAATTTTTAGATCTAAGCTAAATATTGAATCACCTATAATTAGCTTTAATTTATATTCATCTCAATGGAAACTCTCTATATAAACAAATTAACGAATTTTCAAAAATATAATTATTTTATGCAACATTAGTGTTTGATATAATTCTTCATTATAACAGAGGTGCTAGGAATGGCTTGTAACTTTTCCCCTTTTTATTTTAAGTAGCTTGTGTTATAAAAACAAAAGGAATTTCATGTAATTATAATATCAAATAGGCTAATTCAATTACTTTGAAATGCATGTGTCGAAACAAGGGTACAGACTTAGGATGCATTTCTAATTTAAATTAATAAGCTTGTATGCAATAATAAAGAAATATATAATTAACTTAAAGGTTTTGGAATAAAAATGGCAAATAGGTGAAATGTAAGCTCAATATTAAAATAGGTTTTTTCAGAAAAAGGTTCATTGATGCAAACTAATTTCATTTAAAGAATTTGGATTGTGATTCAAACTTTTCTATTTATGCTTGTGTTAGTGTATATGGAAAAAATTGTGTTTGGACCAATAAGGGTCTGTGTTACAAATAGCAGTGAGATTATAAAGGGTGCTTAGATCCAAGATTTATAATTTATATTTTAATAAATACGTGATAGGTTTTATTAACGGTTATTAAAATGGATATTTTTATTAGACAGTAATGTAAGTTAGACATTAAAAGTATTATTTGATTGACATTAAATGAGAAGTTATGCAATCGAATGTATCAGATTAACAGCTTTAATAGTTTACTTGTGATACTCCTGGGCTTAATAAGGATGCTTGCGTTGCTATACAAACAAAAGGATAAAGATGTAATTAAAACAATATATTAGACATTATTATAAATAACATATTGAATAAATGAGATTGTTTTTTTTATCTGCAAAGACTTTTAAATAGAAGATGAAATAAGCCGCTTAATCTAATTAGATAAGGAAGCATGCCTTAGTATTTCCAATCCAGCATTATTATGTGTTTGGAATAATCTTGTTTGTGAAAACAATTTTGAAATTTAAAACAATTTAAACCCCAGTCATTAATGTTTATCCCCAAATTCAAATTTAAGCAGGCATGCTCAACAAAAGGACTTAATGAAACTGGTTGCTCAAGAATTAAAAATGTATTTATAGAGTTAATTCTAAGCAATTTTATAGTGTTTTTATGATAAACAAGAAATAATACAATGTTTCATTAATATTGAACCAAAAATAATTATTTAGGTACAGTTAAACCTAAATTGGTTGATTTTTATTTATATAAGCAGGGATGGTTGCTCGGAATTTGAAGAAGTTCAATTAAATAAGCCATAAAGCCAATGTTTATGCAGCATTCTTATGAATTATTCGGCCTAATAAAGATCCAACATTGCTAACAAAGCAAGTAGATCCCTCAGAGCAGTCAAAGTTTTCTACAATTTTAAAAAATACAAATGCTCATCGATGAATCAACATTCATGTTTGATTATGATTGGTCTCCTACTTAGCAATTTTTTTGGACGGATTTGTGTTTACATAGATTAATCTTAGCGACTATTCTAAATTTACTGTTGGGGACGGAATTAAAATAATCAATAAAATGGATGCTAAGCAATTAAGAAGATTAAAATAAAAACGTTTATCACTAATACTCTAAATTTGTTTTAGGCAATACTTGATTTCCATATGCTGTTGTATTTGTTAATTATGAAACTGAAGGAATTAACTCCAATGTTGGTTTGGGACAATCTACTTTTTATTGTAAATGGGACAAATTAATTTATAATGTGTCCCCATTGATTACTTATCATTATACTCTTTCAATGAATATCAAAATAAGAAAGCTTGTATTAGCAATCCTTATCCCAGCGTGACTTCCTTACATCTACTGATAAATGTATATCTAGCCCTCAAGATATAAATTGTTCAGATTTTAACGTAGGTTAACCTTATTAGGGATTTTTGAATTAAAAGCCTGTTAAAACGTCAATGAAGGTGGGTAAATTTGTGAATATATACCTGATACAAACAAATGCCAAACTCTAAATAAAGCTCAATAGCAAAATTGTGAATTATCTGATATTAATTCAAATGGGTGCTATTATATTACGGTTCTTGCTATTCTTAATGAATATTATTAAAAGAAATGGGATAAAATTTAAAATATACACTTTAACCATAATACTCATTGTAGATGGGATCCCATAAATTTGAATTGCTATGAAAAAGGTAGATGCCGTATACAATTTATAATGCAATTTGAAAATTAATAAATAATTATGTTTATCTTAATTTTTTGAATGGTCAATTTCTGATATGAAATGCTCATAAGTTGAATAACTGGGGATCTTTAAAAGTGACACCTATTATGCATAAGGCTGTACGAACTTAAAAGGGAAATGCATATTATCTTAAATCTGCTAATAACAACGCTATAATCTAATGTAATTTTTAACTACTTTTGATAATAAATGCACAGATTATATAATGAATAAACAGGCTTGTTTATTAAACATTAGAGGGCATAAATGTTTCTTCGATCCAAATCAATATCCAGAGAACAAATGCTAAGAATACAAAGAAGAATAAATAGTTTGTTCCTCCTTAACCTAAATTAATATAGAAATATGCATGAATTATTACTACATAATGTTTCTTTAAAGAATCTTCCTTAGGCTGTAAATCGACTAAGGTTTACCATGCTTATGGTTAAATGGTGCTTGTTAACTCTTTTAAGCAGTTTCACCTGATACTTGTTCGAAGGCTGGAGATTAAAGATCTAAAAATGTTTGTCTAAGTATTTCAGGAAAGGATAATTTTGTCAACATCAAGATTTTAATTCTTCAACACAAAGGAAATTATAAGGCTGAAAATTGTCTAAACAATATAAATAAATTATAGTGCAATTTCTTAATAAACCAGTTCTTGCACACATAAAATACTGTTCAAAAAGAATTTTAATAAGTCTGGATATCTTTTAGATCATATAAAAATTTGAAACTCCCAACACTTATGATTGCAATATAGCTTTTAGTTATAAATCATGCTTACCAATTACAAAATATGTTCAACTAAATAATTATAATACTATCTAATTAATTTCTATGTTATCTTAATAAGTAAATAATTTATTTCCAATGCACTATCAAATATTTCAAAGATTATATTAGTAATATAAATCTTTTAGAATTTGGATCTTAAGATCTCAAATTTCAAGAATGTTTTGGTTCAAACTCAATTCTTCAAATTTACAATTAAAATAATTTTATTGGATAAGGTAAACCGCATCTCAGAATAATTTACATCTTTACCTATTTTAGCAATCTCTATTTTGATGCACTAATAACTCTAGCTTAATGTTGCAATGGCGAGGTTAATTCCTTCTTCAAGTAAGTTATTTCCTTATGATCTAATTTTTCAAATAAATAAGGAAGATTCTAGCTTATTCAACTCTGTTTTCTTTCTAACCAAAGTAAAAATATTGCCAAATTATTCTTCTGCCTTTTGTCATTAAGTTCATTAGGTTAATTACAACCTGTAGGAAATAATAGAAAGTATATTTTTTTAATACTACTTTTGCAATGAGGCGAAAATTGAGATTGTATATTCTAATTCTTTTGGTTCACTGTGCTTGGTATTCATGATTTTAATGATATTAAATTTTTTCCATTACCAATAATTGATCAAATCATTCAAATCAATAATCTATTATTATTAAGTAAAAAATTCGACTTATGCATGACTCATTATTCATTTATCGAAATCCATATAGAAAAATGTTCAATTGATTTCCAATATTCTTGGTTACTTCGAAAATAAATTAACTCCAAATTTATACAAGTCTGCTTTACTAATTATATAAATAATATACGTCATAAAATAATAGAAATTTATTATTAAAAAAAATGGATGGCTCTTGTGAATAGAAAGAGGATCTTGAAGAACTATTCATCTAAGTTAAAAATGTAGATGAAAAAATCTTTAGTGCCTTAGTTGAAATGTTTAGACAAGAGGATATTTAAGAGTATCTTTCAGATGATCAATAGAAAAATCACGGCGATTAATATTTTTTATAGGGTTTGAATTTAACATAAATAGAAAGAGAATAGTAGTTGAACAATTTCAAAAATAGCTTTCAAAAAGTTTTTAATGTGATTTAAAAAATAAAAAGTCACGACTTTAACAAAAATGACTATTCCAATTAAGAAAATTTTGAATGTAGATAAAATCTAATTAAAAAAATAAATGATGATAAGTAGATCATAGAACTTTTGAAACTTTTAGTTTAACTTACAGCCAAAGATGAAAAATTAATATAATGTGGATCAAATTCGCTAAACTTATTAGTTGAGATGAAGGTGGATCTGGTTAAATAATCACTTGAAAAAATAAGAATTAGGAATACATCTCTAATCGGAGGAAGCTTCGTCAGATGCAATTTGAGTGAATCTGAATTCGAGAATGTAGATATAAGTGGGGTGAATTTAAATGGAGCATTATTATACAATTGCAAATGGAAAAACATGAAAATACATGAATTAAATAAATTAGATGGTCATAGTCAATAAGTCTTATCAGTATGTTTTTCACCTGATGGTAATACTTTGGTCTCCGGTAGTTAAGATAATTCAATCCGATTATGGAATGTTAAGACAGGAGAATAAAAATCCAAATTGGATGGTCATACTAATAATGTTAATACAGTATGTTTCTCTCCTGATGGTAGTATAGTATCATCAGGGAGTGATGATCAATCTATCCGTTTATGGGATATTAAGTCAGGGCTATAAATATTTAGATTGTATGGTCATAGAGATAGGGTCATATCAATATGTTTTTCTTCTGATGGTCGTACATTAGCGTCTAGTAGTCATGACAGAACTGTCTGTTTATGGGATGTTAAAACAAGAAAAAAAAAACTAATATTAGAAGGGCATAGTGATAGTGTACTCGCAGTAAGCTTTTCTCCTGATGGTACTATTTTAGCAACTGGTAGTGAAGATTTCTCCATTTGTTTATGGGAAGTCATGACAGGACTATAAAAGTCAATATTAATAGGTCATGATTATGCTGTCTATTCGGTATGCTTCTCCCCTGATGGAACGACAATAGCTTCTGGCAGTTAAGATAATTCGATCTGTTTATGGGATGTTAAGACAGGACAATAAAAATCCAAATTGAATGGTCATGATCGTATTGTCGGTACTGTTTGCTTTTCTCCTGATGGTAGTATATTAGCATCTGGTAGCGATGATAGGTTAATCTGTTTATGGGATGTTTAAACAGGAGAGTAAAAATCAAAATTAGTAGGCCATGGTAATTGTGTAAGTTCAGCATGTTTTTCTCCTAATGGTACTATATTAGCATCTGGCAGTTATGATAATTCTATTATATTATGGGATGTTAAGATAGGATTATAAAAACACAATTTAGATGGTCCAAATGATGCAGTTCTATCTGTATGCTTCTCTCCTGATGCTACTTCATTAGCATCTGGTTGTTCAGATAGCTCTATCCATTTGTGGGATGCTAAAACAGGACGATAAAAATTAAAATTGAATGGTCATAATAATGTAGTAATGTCAGTATGCTTTTCTCCTGATGGCTAGACTTTAGCATCTGGCGGTGGTGATAACTCTATTCGTTTATGGGATGTTAAGAGTGGATAATAAATATCTAAATTAGATGGTCATAGCGAATGGATTCAATCAGTGCGCTTCTCCCCTGACGGTACTTTATTAGCATCAAGTAGTAATGATTTCTCTATCCTTTTATGGGATGTTAAGACAGGATAATAATATTCTTAATTATACGGTCATTAATAATGGGTTCAAACAATATGTTTTTCTCCTGATGGTACCACATTAGCATCTTGTAGTGGAGATAAATCCATCCGTTTATGGAATGTTAAGACAGGAAAATAAAAATCCAAATTATATGGTCATAGTAGTTTTGTATAAACCATATGCTTCTCTTTTGATGGTACAACATTAGCATCTGGTGGTAATGATAACGCTGTCTTCTTATGGGATGTGAAAACTGAGCAATTAATATACGATTTGATTGGTCATAATCGAGGAATCCTATCAGTATGCTTCTCTCCATATAATACTTTATTGGTATCTGGGGGTTAAGATAACTTTATTTTATTATGGGATGTTAAGACAGGGCAATAAATATCCAAATTAGAATACCATAAAAGTACAGTCTATTAATTATGCTTTTCGCCTGATGGTACGACATTAGCATCATGTAGCCATGATAAATCAATCAGGTTATATGATGTTGAGAAAGTGTTAAAATAACCAAAGTTCCATGGTCATAGTAGTGGAATATTATCAATATGCTTCTCACCCGATAGTGCTACAATAGCATCTGGCAGTGATGATAAGTCTATCCGTTTATGGGATGTTAGGACAGGATAATAAAAATTAAAGTTTGATGGTCATAGTAGAGGAGTCTTATCTTTATGCTTTTCTCCTAAAGATAATATATTAGCTTCAGGTGGTAGAGATATGTCGATCTGTTTATGGGATGTTAAAACACAACAATTAAAGTACAAACTGGATGGTCATACTAATTCAGTTTGGTCAGTATGCTTTTCTCCTGATGGAACTGCATTAGCATCTGGTAGTGTTGACAACTCTATCCGTTTATGGAATCTTAAAATACGACAATTAAAATTCAAATTGGATGGTCATACTGATTCAGTATGGTAAGTATGTTTTTCTCCAGATGGTACTACAATAGCGTCTAGTAGCAAAGATAAATCTATCCGATTATGGAATGTTAAGACAGGATAATAAAAATTCAAATTAAATGGTCATAGTAATTGTGTAAATTCAGTATGCTTCTCTCCTGATGGTATTACATTAGCATCTGGTAGTGCGGATAATTCTATCCGTTTATGGAATGTTAGGACAGGACAACAAAAATAAATGTTAAATGGTCATAGTAATTAAATCAATTCAGTATGCTTTTCACCTGATGGTTCTACATTAGCATCTGGTAGTTCAGATAATTCTATTGTTTTATGGAATGTTTAGACAGGACAATAACAATCATAATTAAACGGTCATAGTGATTGTATCAATTCAATATGCTTCTCTTCAAATGGTACTACAATAGCATCTTGTAGTGATGATAAATCCATCCGTTTATGGAACTTTCAAACAAGAAGTGAAATAAAATCCTCTGATAATATATATAAAGATATTCAAGGATATATCAAAACTCCGCTTTTTTAATACAATCATTTCCTAGAAAAAGGTATTCTTATTTATTTTTTAATATTTTAGTAAATACTAATATCCCTATTCTACTGATATCTCAAACTCTAATATTTCAAATCCAAAGTGCTTTGATTTTATAAGGAGAATTTTCTAATTATTTGGGTTTAGATCTCCTATCATTATTCAAATCCAAAGGGAGTTATATTTTAGATAATTAAATAGAATTAAATAAAACTAATAATTGAATATGATAAATTATTGTTCACAATTTTAGTGCTTGGTCTTTTTTCTAAGCTTTTTATTCTAAAAATTTCACTTATAATTTTCCAAAATTAGAGCCAAATTGTTTTATTAACTCATTTTAAATTTATTTCTTCTCTTAGAATATTTCGAAAATGTATAAAATCAACCAATATAAATACATATATTGTAAATAGGTTATTGAGTAATTTATAAATACACTTCAAAATTTTAAAATTAGACAAGATATGCATTTAAATCTAATAAAATTATAAAAACATTAATGAAATTCTCAAAAAAATAGTAAGAAATTGTTAAATATGTAAGCAAATTAAACTAATTAAAAAAATCAATTTTAATTTCTAAATCAAAGAAATTTGTAAATATAATCAAACAAAAAATTTGAATACATTGAACCCTAAAATTCTCAAGAGGGTAAGAATATAAACCATTGCTATCTATTGACTTTGATATTTTAATCACTAACTAGATTATGAATTGTTTTTTTGATCATTTTTCAGAGGAACAAAAAATAGAATCCATATTTAATAATCAAATATAATAATTCATTGAATATTACCTTTCATCAAAATGATTTAGATTTAATGAAGAAATCTGCAAAAAATGCAATTTTATTATTAATTAACCGAAGTCAAATTTAAGTATTATTCATCTTATTACATTTGAATAATATTACATCTTAAATAAATTTCATCAAATGATACTATAGGAAGTATATAAAATATAAGCTCACCACTTAAACTAAAATTTCTTGAAAAGAATTTCTTATCAAAATATTTTTAAAACAAAAGTAAAACACCATTCATTTGAATGTTCGAAAGTTCAAAAAATTGAAAAATAAACTGATCTGTATTAAATTTAATGATCAATTTTTCTTATAAATGAACCTATCATTTTTTAGATTTATTTTGTTCTAACCTTACAAAATTTAACCAACAGGATATGGCTCCTTCACCTCCAACAAAAATAAATGATTTTTATTCTGGGTTTTGGGAATCCAAAAAAAAAAAAAAAACAACCCTTGTTATTGGGCGGAAAGGGCCTTTTCCTTT